TGGGCTGGATATATGCATATATGCGTGTATATATGTGTATAAGAAACAACATGTGTACACATGCACACACACAAATATATAATGTATAATGTGTTGGACTAGGCTGGGCATATGCATATATGTATGCATGTGTAGTGCACACACTTATGTAGACAAATATTGTAATGTATATATCCAGCCCAGTCAATCATATATGTGCATATGTGTATATGTGTATATGCATGCTTTTAGGTAGAAGAGAAAGAAAATCAGTACCAATTTTTGACACATATTGAAATCTTTGTTCCTGTCACAAAATACTTCACAGTGCTTGCATAACTTTTTGCTAGAATTCACATTTTTTTCAATTTTTTCCCCAGTTTTTCCAACTTTTTCAATTACTGATTACATCAGGGAGAGAGAGAATCAATTAGGTACTAATAATAATTAATACCTGCTAATATTTTATTTTTAATGTATATTGATATGTCCTATTGTTATATCACCTGTATTTCCCCATATATCTCTTTCCTCTCCCTCCCAAAGAACCATCCCTTTTAACAAAGAATAAAAATGATTTTAAAAAAATATTTTCTTTTTCTATTCAATAAAACTAACCAACACATCAGTCAAGTCTAATGTTATATGCAGTATGTTCCATACCCATAGCTTCTTACTTCTACAAAGAAGGGAAGTTTATTTTGCTATCTCCTCTTTGGGGTCAGGCTTTGCGCATTGTAATTTTGAGGCATTCTGTTCACATTTTTTGTTGCTATTGTACCTTCCACTTACATGGTTGACATCATTACATGCATTGTTTTTCAGGTTCTGTTTATTTCTCCTTGCATGAGTTCACGTATGTCTTCACATGCTTCTCCTTGTGTACTATATTCATTGTATCTTACAGGGCAGTAACATGTTCATTTACCATAGTTTGGCTAGCTACTCCCTAATCAATGGGCCATCTACTTTCTTTCCAATTTTTTGATCCTCGAACTGTATATGCATGCACGCATGTGTGTATTTACATATATATGTGTATATGCATGTGTATAAATACATGTATATTTATTTTATGCATAGTTTATGTAATTTAAAAATAATTATACTTTATTTTGACATTCATTTAAAAAAATTTTGAGCTCCCAATTCTTTCCCTCTCTAGATCCTCCTGTACCCATTGAGAAGTCAAGCAACATATCAGTTATACATGTGAAGTCATATAAAACATATATGCATGTTAGCCGTGTTGCCAAAAAAAAAAAAAAACCCACAAAAGCAAGAAGAATAGAGAGAAAAAAGTATGCTTTGATCTGCACTCATCTGCATTCATCGGTTCTCTTTCTGGATGCAGACAGCATCTTTCCTCATGAATCCTTAACTGTCCAGGATCATTGCATTGATTGGAGTATCCAAGTCAACTGTTGCTATTTTAGAAAGAAGTATGGGCTTTTGGTTGGTGTGCTGCTGGATTGCAGGAAACACTTGGACCCACTTCAAGGTTTGCTTTGTATCTGTGAATCCAGAGTTTCCTATCTGTCTGAAGGTGGAACGAAACAAATAAACAAAAACAGGAGCTAGGATAATTAGGGTTATGAAAAGGACAGTCAAGTGCCCAAAGATCATGTGATGATGAAATCACACCATTTGGGTCTTTTGAAATCAGTAGAAAATTATCTTGAACAAATGCCAGGCACCTGGAGAAATAAACCAGTCACATTCAGATCTGCAGCTGCACCAAGCACAGTTGAGACACTAAAGTAATCTTTCATATTACATTTATTGGATAAAAATATGAATAGTTTGGGAACATACAGACTTAAACGGGATGGTCCCAGGGATATGAATGCATCTACAACCTACTTGCGGGGTCAAAATTTTGGACTTAGTAGTTTGTCTGTCCCTGAGATGCTGGACATGCTATTTTGTGCCCTTCTGACCATGTAGGTATTTTCCTGACTGCCTAGCCTTCCTCCAAATAGCACCTTGGTCTCTCGCCCACTAGGTAATGGATTCCCAGGTTATGGTTTCTCCAGTCCATTTGGAGACATCTTTGGCCTCCTGTTCTTACCCACACACAGTTTCACAGATCGTTTCTATTGACTTAGCTAGGTATGTAGTTGTTACGGTACCTGGTATATCCTGGATATAGTATGTCCACTAGTGGATATAGTACCAGACCTGAGTTGAAACCCTACCTCAAACACTTACCAGCTGTTTGACTGAGGGCAAGTTACTTAATCCCTCTGTTTGCCTCAGTTTTCTTTTCTATAAAATGGGGCTAATAATAGCACCTCCCTCACAGAGTTATTATGGGGTTCAAATGAAATGAAACTTGTAAGGTACTTAACAAACCTTAAACAAACCTTAAAGCATTGCATCAATACCAGCCATTAATAACATTATTATTATTATTGTTTTCCCTAATAGTATTTTATTTTTTCCAATTAAATGTAAAGAAAATTTTCAACATTCACTTTTACAAGATTTTGAGTTCCAAATTTTTTCTCCCTCTCCTCACCCCTCCCCCAAACAGCATGCAATCTGATATAGGTTATATATGTACAATCATATTAAACATATTTCCACGTTAGTCATGTTGTGAAAGAAGAATCAGAACAAAAGGGAAAAACCAGGAAAAAGAAAAAAAAAGAAAATAGTGTGCTTCGATCTGCATTAAGACTCCATAGTTCTTTCTCTGGATGTGGATAGCGTATTCAATCTTGAGTCTTTTGGAATTGTAATTGTCTTAGATCATTGTATTGCTGAGAAGATCTAAATCTATCAGAGTTGGTCATCACACAGTGTTGCTGTGTCTGTGTACAATAATAACATTATTATTAGCGGGACTAAATATTCCCACTAAAACCATTGTCTATCCATTAGACAAAGCCTGTCTATAAAATGAGCAGCCAGAAATGCTGTGGGTAGAAAATTATTGATTTCTTTGTGAATACTCAAAAAAATATGATACCCCATGCTTTAAAATATGCCCCGTTCCTGCCTGTACAACTGGGACCTCACTGGCCATTCCGTAGTATCTTTCTGACTGTAGCATCAGATGTGGGAAGCCAGTCAGATGTGCCTGGGTTGAGAACCCACCTCCTTCATCCAAAATCCATGGCTCTTTCTTCTGCATTATCAGATCACCCTGTTGTGGAAGTGTTGAAGGACCCTGACAGTACATACATTTACCAGTAAGAGTAATGACCTGGGTATGTCGGGTCTGAGGATGAACACTTTAAGGACCTTCACTGACAACCTCCCCTCCTTGCTGTGGTCTGAAAAGCATTGTATCCGAGGGAGGTTCAGTGACCAGGCAGGACCTGGTTTGTATACTTCCCTTCCAGCAGTTGAGATCTGAACATTTGCAGTACCCTGTCTCCTTGCCCAATTTGACATTTTTTTCTCCATGTCTGTCTCATTTTAGGCTAGAAACCTTACTTTTATGGGCTATAGCATTTTATATTAAAGTCAGATAACTTTCCACATTAGTGACCTACTTGACTCTTTCATGAAATTTCCCAAGCAGCTGTTATGGACTAGGCAATGGATTAGTCGGAAAGAAAATATGTGAGAGAGAGAGTATGTGTGTGTGTGTGTGTGTGTGTGTACACACACTATAAGATAATTCCTGCCTGTATTCACTAAGTCTTATAGAATGTTAATGAAAGTTTGTGTTGAATAAATTAAACAAATAAATAATAGAATTTATTTTGTGCTTACTATATTCCAGTGACTATGTAAAACTTACATAGCCATTGTTCAGTCAGTCAGTAAGCATTTATTAAGTACGTACTGTATGCTAGGCATTGATAAGTTCTGGGAACACAGAGAAAGGCAGTAGCACCTGTATAGTGCCTGTACTCAAGAAACTGATGATGTGATGGGGGGCGGAGATAACTGTGAAAATAAATATGTACAAACAGGATATTATGCAGGATAAATTGGAGATAATCATTCGAGGCACTAGCATGAAGCAGGATCAGGGAAGGTTTTTTTCTAGAAAATGGGATTTTAGCTGGGACTTCAAGGAAGTCAGGGAAAGCCTGGAGATGGAGATGAAGAGGGAAGAATATTCCAGGTATGGAGGACAGGGAGTTGGGAGATGGAACCTCTGAAACTACAGGTGCATATTTGTGTGTGTGTGTGTGTGTGTGTGTGTGTGTGTGTGTGTGTGTGTGT